TTTTAGTTAGTTGGTTATGTATTTTTTAAATAAAAAAAAAATTTTGAATTTACTTACTTGTAGCCAGAGTTAGAGGCAGTCAGATACTTATGATTACTATTGTATTCCCTATTATTAAATTATCATTATCCTAAGTTTGACAGATTGATTATAGAGTTAACAATATCTAGTTTATATTTATCAAATAAAATTTTTGACAAAGGATCCTAGAAGTATATTTTACTAGTTTATAATCTATTTTATTATATATTATCAGTTAGATTTCAAAAATAATCAATACAAAATTTAAAAATAATCAATATTATTATTTAAAAAGTTTAAAAAACTTTAGGATTCTTCAAAAATTCAAAATTTTTTAATTTTAATTGGAATATTTAATATAAAACTATTAATAATAGTTTGAATAAGTATTTGAATAAATAGGTTTGAAGTATTAATAATTACTAGTAATAATTTTATTATTAAAAACTACTTTATTTATTTTATTTTTTTTATAAAAAATAATTAAAATAATTTTTTGTTATAAAAATATTATATTTAAATTTCAAAATTATTTTTCTATTAAAATTAGTATAATAATAATCCTATAAGGTAATTTTAATAGTAAAATCTCATGTGTTATAAATTGGTTTTCAAGAATTATAAAAATTAGTATAAAATAATTTTAATAAATAAAATTTTATATATTTATAATAATAAATAATTTAAATATTACAATATAATAATTTAATTATAAAATTTTAAATTATAATGATAAAATTTAGTATTATTTTATTAATTAATACAACTTAATATTTAAATTTAAATAATTTATTATTAATTAAAATATTTACTATAACGTAGTATTTTTTGATTATTATTTACTCATCTTATAAGATAATTTTAATAGCTTAACTTTTATATATAATTAATGGAACAATTAGTTAGTAATAATGAGGTTATATAAATAATGTAATACAATGATCTTTTAATCTAGAATTCTAAAAATACTAAGAATTCTGTAAATTCTGAAAATACAGAGGATCTATGTAATTCTACGGGTCTTTCAAATACTGATAATAATCCTAATTTTACAAATTAAATAAAGTTTAAAAACATTTAATGTTATATTTATTCTTAATATTTTACTTTTAATTATTATTTTTATTATATTTTATATTTTTATATTTTTACATATTTTTATTATTTTTAATATATTTATTTTACTTATATTTTATTTATCAAATTAATTAGTTTATAATATAGTAATAATTAGCTATAATAAAAGAAATTTTATATAAATCAATAGACTTTTTACTTATACTTTTTTATGGATTAAAACTGAATTTCAATATTAATAAAGGAATTATTTAAAACTTATATGTTTCTATCTTTTCATATCTTCATAAAGTTTGACATGATCCCTACACATTATTTGTAATTAAGTTCATCATCTGAATTCTTTAATTAAATTATTTATAATCTTATTTTTCAAGTCTTCATACTTAATAGACTTGTTTAAGTTTAAACATGTAGATTAGTAAAGTTAAGAGTTAGATAGATTCTAACATCTTAATTACAATAAACCATAGTTAGCAACTTTGAGTAGTAATTTAAGGATATAACTAATATAAGATAAAGAATTTTACATTAATAATATAAATAAAAATTTGTTTTTTATTCTTTTCTTTTCATTATACTCAAATTAAATTAAATAATAATTTCTGTTAATTGATAAAAAACCTTAAAAGTCATATTTTATAGAAAATAGTAAACAATATAATACAGTAACAATTATAAATATCTGATTGACTTTAAATTTAATTACAAAATAATTCAAATTTATTTTATTTAAAATATATAACTAACTAAAATTAATATAATGTGTAATTATCATCTAACTTTATAAGTGCAATTATATATCATTTTATGCTAGCTGAAATAAATATAGGTAAGAGCCTGCAAAAGTGTACAGCTAATAATATGAATTAAAATATCTTAGCTGTTTTTTTTTTATTCTAAAATTATTGAATTTCTTGAGTATATAAATGATAGCTCTTTCTATTATTATTAGTTACAAATTTCTTAAGTTAAGTTTATTATAAAGGTTTAAAAAGAAATAGTTGACTAAAGTAAAATATTGAATTAGTTGTTCTAATATCATCCATCCTTTTTAAAGTATCAAATACTATTGATATAACATATTTGATTATTGTAGCAATAGTTCAATAATTATCAAGTATTTAAAGATTTTTAGCAGTTCTTTATATTTTAATAAATAAGTAGATAAATATATAAGAAGTTTGTCAAAAATCAGTTGATTTCTCTTATTTATAAGACCAGATTCCATCTATCTTCTGATAATCAAATTTGATTAGTTAAAAAATTTTATAAATATTATTTATATTATTTATATATATTATAAATATAATTTGTTTAAATTATAAATTTTATCTGAAAATATTTTATAAATATTTCAAAATAAAGAACTTCTAAAATATTTAAAATAAAAATAAAAAAAAACTTTAAGGATGTATTTTTTTTAATAGAAATTTAGTAGTAATTTACTATGATAATCCTTATATCATTTAATAGATAAATAGTTAATTAAAATAATAGTTAAATAAATAATAATTAATAAATAAAATAATAAATAAACATTATTTTTATTCATAAATTTCTTTTGTTAAAAAAAAACTTTCAATAGGATCAAAATGAATATCACTAATAATAATTTTATAGTAGTTTAATGTAGTAATAATTTTGCAAATCTATTAAAAAAACTGTTTTCATGTTTTTACATTCTTTACATTTTCTTTTTAAAGAAAACTAAATCAATATGCAAAGTTTTTTAAAAATATCAAACTTTAGCAAAAATTTTTTTATAAGTTACCTTAAAATTTATATCAAGAATTTTATAATACATTGTTAATGTTACTCTTTCCGTTGAATAAGTTAACTATAATTTAAAGTCAGGGAGGTAATAGTTATGACTTAAATCCAATCAACTTGATATGCTTTTATTAGAGATTATTTAGTTAACAAGAAATAAATTATAAGTGTTATGTTTGCAAAATGTTAAATGTGTTTATTATTGTTATTAAATGTATATTAAATACAATATTAAGAATCTATTAGAATCTGTTCTTTTTCCAAGGCATTTTCATGCCCTTTATATAAGAAAATACAATTAAAGAAAATCTATGATATTTATGATACTATTGACAATAATAATAGAGCTAACAGATATGCTAATTATGTAAAATATGTTATAAATGATAATAATAATATAAATAATAGAAATATAATAAATATTGAGTATGTCCTTTTTAACAGATATGGCAGATTTGGCAGATTTGTCTGTCCTGTCAGTTTCTGCCGGTTTTACTATGAGAGATAAACTGCCAATTTTTGAATGTTTGAAGTATGATTATGCATTTTATAATGAAAAAATTCGTTAGATACTTCTGGAAGTAAAAATATATCTAGCAACTAGATACATTTTGATTTTATCAATTAGTTCTAATTATATATTACTAATATTATTTGATTGAGAAAGGGTGATAGTTGCCTGATCATGACCTTTATAGATATATTTGTATAGTATTTGACTGCTAACACAGAATTGCAAATCTCAACATTAATATGGAAATTATATTTTGTAACCAAATTAATATTATATGGTACAACCCATTTGTTATCTAATTGAGCACCTCTAATTTTGACAAAACAGCTAGTATCTCTTCTGTGATAAATAGGATATTCATCATGACTTTTTTAAGTATTTTCTTGAAATGTTTTAGGATAATATTTTTGATATTACTATCTTTCATGCATGGTGCGGATGGATTCATATCACTACATAAACCATACATCATGGTATTTGCTATTGTCTCATAGGTAAGAGGATGCGTTACTGGGTTTGGAATCTTAGCAAAAAAAATAGAGTCATAATCATCTACAGATTGTAATTTATCTTCTGGTGATAGTATTAGCAGGATATAGGCATGAGGCAAATCACGTTTCTGAAATTCTACTACATATATATATGCAATAACTTTACCTAACCAATGTTTTTCACACAGGTCTTTTAACAATTCTTATAGTTTTAGATGAAAGATGTGAGCTATTAAGTCAGGTTCATCAGCAGTATTCTGATTAGGTATTAATTCTCTAGTGACCTCTAGCCATTTTGGATTACACGTAAAAGTCACAAAAGATCAGGCTTTCTGAAACCCCCAAATTTTGAAAACATGGATTCAAAGTGACTTACAATGATATAGCTGATACATTTGACGTGAACCACCAATAAAAAAGGATGGAAGAATCATACGATGACCAACATTATCGCTACTATCTACGGCACCTTGATAGAGTTCAACACGAAGTGTCATTTGATTATGCCTAAGATAATTTAATTGTTTCTGTTCTATTTTTTGCATACTGGTCCACAATATATTGTTGATACAAATGACCTGCATGTTGAAGCCAATCACCATCTCGGATTTGCAATCTATAAGAATAAAATTGCATTATCGTTACCCTTTTCCTTTTTACAGCTTCTACCAGGGGAATTTCTGCATGCCAACCATTATCACCTCTTAGGAATAGTAGTATATAGTGAAGAGCATCATATGATGGATGGAGTTCTGATATCCTTTGCAAACCTCCATCAAGTAACCTAAGAGAATATCTCGATTAGAAGGATTTATATCATATCCATCATCAGAAGCCGTAAGAACATTGTACTGATGGGGATCACGTGCTTGATCATTATATATTAACATGGAAATCTCAGTAGCTTGATTTATCTGAATGAGATCTCTTATCTGGCGAAAATTCTGAATATAAGAATTGCACTGATTCAACATATCTTGCAAATGTTGTAAATGTCCCTCATCCAACTGTTGCATGATGTTTTGTCAGTTTTGACTTTCATGTGCAGTATCATATATGTATAGTTGGGCAAATGTAGGCGAATGACCTTCATCTGGCAATAATTGACCGATACGATGATAGACTTGACCATGAATTCAGAAATTAGAGACACCGTGCTCTGAAATTCTTCATCGATATTTGCACCGAATGACGTGCAAGCAAAAATATTGTTATAAGCTCTAATGTTTACAAAAAGAATCTGCATTTGAAGCCGATGAAGTATACAGATCCAATATATATGGTGGGGGTTGAAGTAAAGGTGGTAAGTGGATTTTACCATTGGCACAACACATCATAAGTATTGGAGAAGTACAGCTTGCTTTTATGATCTATTTCTTTTAGCCAAAATTTGGAATCACAATGTTGACTTGATCCATTCTTCTGAAATCATGACGTGTTACTTCTATCTCTTCTGTATTATCATTCTTTTGTTTTTTTCTGGATTTACTTTTTCTCTCTCTGGCTAATCTTTTTTTACGTTGTTCAGATGTTTCATTTGCCTCAAACATTTCTCATCTAAATGGCACTCGGGTTCTAAGCAAGGGTCAATTATCTTGCGCGTTAAGACATTACTCGTAAGTAACTTAACACGCGAATCTTTATCGCACACCTTGGTTTCATTATTTAAGGGCAAATATCATTTTTTTATCATTTATAAACTTTTAGTAATCAAAAAAGTTTATTACATTCTTATTAGAGGATAATGCATAAATCGAAAGTTTCAATCATTACATAATAATATAATAATATAGAATGAAGAAAGAGTTATAAACAAATATGATCAGAAAAAAAGAGGTATGTTCCATTTCTAAAAAATCGAAAAAAATTCATATTAGATTTGATTTCAAATTTCAATTGATTGTTATATTATTAAATAAAATGGTTTATACTTTATTAAATTTTCTTACATCATAAATTATAGTCAGTAAGTTGTAGTCATTGATTTTTCTTTATGTACTCTAAAGTTTATTTAAAATAATGTATGATCATGCGATAATTATCGCTTTCGAAATATGTGTCGTGATATTTTAAAGATGATATATTTTTTTGTATTACACCATAATATTATGCGTATCAAAATATTAAATTAATCGCGATACATATTTCGAAAGTGATATATAATTTTATTATAGCTAATTTATGGCAAAGTTTCATAATTCCGGGCAAATTTTTCGAGTTAAATATTCAAATAACGTGACGGTTCATGATTTCTAAAAAAGAAACTTATGTCAGTCCAACAAACATCGAAGTTCCGAAAAGATATTACTCAGGTTTACTTTTTTATAATAAATATTGTAATGTTTCACAATTCAATCGACATTCATTATTTATACAGGTACTCTAAACGTGACCGTAACACAGGAATTTTTTATTATATAGATATAGATATTCCATTAATACATTATCATTAGAAAGTAAAATAAAATGACAGTAAAATAAAAATTTTTTCTAAAACTAGCAGGACTTTTAGGACCATTTAGTCCAAGTACTTTGCTTCATCAACAACCAACAATGGAGCCATCTTCTAGGCGCCCAATTCTTGTATGGTTGGTAACCACATACTGTCAACCATAGACGTCAGGTAAATTACTTATTATTATTATTAAATGTGATAATTAATTAGTAATTTTATAAAACTATCGATAATTTCTTAAAAAGGTTTTAAACGCTATTTACTTTTGACGACGCCCTATTCCTGTATGGTTGGTAACCGTGTATTCATCAACCATAGACGTTAGGTCAGTTGCTAGATGAAGAAAAAGTTATTTAGTAAATTTATAAAAACTTCAAGTTAATCCAATATAGTGGAAGACTATCTTCGAACACGCGCATATTATTTGTGATCGTCATGTAATTTTTTCTTTGTGATTTATGTTTGCATGAATTGTACCATGAGAGAAAAAAATATTATAATTTGATTAATCAACTCGCTAATTAACGCACGTGTTTCCTTTTTTGGAAATGAATTTCATAGGATTTAACTATTTTAATTTAAGTCTAAAATAATTTCGCATAATTTCGTTTTATTAAAAGATGATTTCGCTCTATATTCGCTACTCAAATATTATGTGTTGTGAATTATTTCAATTGTTCCTTTTTTTCAATCCTGTGCAAATTGTGCTAAAAAAATTGAAATGGAGCAAAACATTAACCACATTTCACCTGATAATACATTTTTAATAATCAATTTTTAATATTATAAATTGAATGAATCAATTGTAATCATAATATAAAAAATATAAAAGTACAATAATAGCATGGGAGAGAAATTTGTCAAAAAAGTTTTGCTCAAATGAATGTGACAGCCTATTACTGCTCCTTCTTAATATTTTATTCTTCAATTCCGACATTTAATTTCGACGCTGCATTTTGGACTTAAAAGAAATATAAGAAATACAGTATATAAAATTTCGATGTTAACTAAGAGGTCGCAAATAAATCATTAATAATCTAGTGAATATTGAAGACTATAATACCTCACTGCCTTCCAAGTAATGATGTTACTGCAATACAAGTTATAAAGAAGAAAGGAAATCATAAATTATTAATTTTTTTTTTTTTTTAAAAAAAAAAAAAAAAAAAAAAAATACGGTTTTACCCTTTTAGATAGTCAACAGAGTCAATTGGGGAACAGCAAACGAAACGAATGCCAGATTACTTTTTCAATATTTTTCAGATAAGAAAAATGTGAAATAAGTGCGTTCATGATATATTGATTATACTTAATTATACTAAAAAAAAATAAGAATGTGTAATTTTAACCAATCATAAAAAAAATTTTACCTAAGAAGTTCTTTTATCCTATATTCAAGGCAAAGTTGCATCAATGCATATGACAAACCAAACCTAATCGGTTTAACCTTTCTTGCACATGCGAGATCTTAAATATAAAATATTGTCAATTTGCAACCACTTCATAATAATATGACAAAATATTATTGACTTACAGTATATCTGTCAAAATATTACTGCAAAATCAGATGACATCATTATGATTTTTAATGGACAGTACAACATGGGATTAAATTGCTAAAAAGGTTGTTTTATATTAAAATCTATTAATGGAATATCACCTATGACACGACTAACCTTCAACTACTGATTCCGTTAAAAAACACGCGCTGTTTGCATTAAATCGATAAAAAAAAAAACTTAAACTTGAATTCTTCTTTTAAGTATCAGTTATGTATGTATTCACTAAGCAATAAATTGTTCAAATCACATGATTTATTTTATATTAATATGAAAACTTTAAATCACATCAAATAAAAATCTCCTAAATTATATTCATAAAAAATCGAAGATTCGATGCTTTCCATATCCTGACGATTCATGGAAATCAACACAACATATAATTTTTAGCGCGATTATGGTTACACAGGATTACTTAAATAGATAACCTTTTATATATTTATTTTATTTTAGTGTGATTAGGATATGGGATTAGAAATCTCAAAAAGACAAATTCGAGATTGTTATAAGCAATCCGTCACGCATGAAAAAAGTCACGTGAAACGATAATTGGATTACCCAACAACATATGAAAGAAACAATTCCGAAGCAGATTTGCATTAAAGCAGGACGATAGTATCCAGGTTAGATTTTATTGCATAGGAAAATACAAAAATATTTACAATCTGAATATAATTTCGCACTATCGGTGACGACATCCTCTATAGCACAAGGAATAACTATTCCTTCGAGAAGGCCATCACGACACCGAATTTCTTGCTGGCTGACACGGACGACATAAGGACCTGTGATTTTAGAAATTTATTAATGATATTCATTAAATATAATAAAATTTCATTAAATTTCACTAAAATATACCTATTTTTTTTTTTTATTTACTTCTCAAGTTTTTACATTGAATAACAAATCGGATATTTGAAATACGCCAGAGTGTATCTTTCCCTTTGTCATCACGCTTCTATAAAAATATAAAATAAAAAAATGAGCAAGTGCGTCGTCATCATCAAAAAATCAAGATCATTTTTTTATGTCACGAAGCAACCTACCACGCGTCTAAATCTAGAACCTTTGGCCTTCACGAGAAATCTATCATTCGAAAAGGCCACGACGATACCGATTGTCCTGTCTGGTTGTCAGAAGAGCACCTCATCCATCTCTCGTATGATCCTGAAATTTTAGAAATTTTATTAAATGATATTCATTAGATATTATAAGTTTTAATTAAATTTCATTAAAACATACCTATTATTTGTACTTTCAAGTTTTGCATTGAATAACAAATGGGATATTTGAAATACGCCAGCGATATCATTCCCTTTGTCACCACGACCTTTATGAAAATATAAAATAAAAAAATGAGCAATTTGCGTCATCATCATCAAAAATCAAGTAGAACTGATTTGTATTCCTATTCACTACAA